TATTTAATCTGCTTTTAATTATATCTTTTAACTTTTGGTATTTATGTATTTTATTTTGTGCCTGTTCACCGCCCTGAGTCCTTCGGGAGTAGGGCGGTATATAAATCTAATAAAAGAAAAGAAAAGAAAGAAAGAAACCAAACCAAAATTTGGTGTGCGTGTATGTGTATTTATTAAATGATTACGCACAGATTTCGGTTTAGCAAGCTGTGTAAACAGGGCCGGTGGTGCATTTGTTTAAATGGAGTTAAACGCTCGTTGCTCTCAGCCATAAATTTCTTAATCGTGACTTACTGGAGATGCCACCGTTTGCTGTTTTCACATAGCATGCTAAATCCATAAACAAATGAAGCATGTTATGACTGCCAGTGATGTGAGAATTATTAAGGCTTTCGTTGAATCATAGAACAGGGAATCATCGGAAGGGAAGTGACCTCAGAAGTCTTATAGTCCAACCCCTGCTCAAGGCAGGAGTCTTACGCCATCCCAGTTAAATGGTTGTCCAGTCTGTTTTTGAAAACTTCCAGTGATGGAGCACTCAGAACTCCGGAAGGCAAGTTATTCCATTGATTACTTGTTCTCACAGACAGGAAATTTCTCCTTATTCTAGGCTGGATCACTCTTTTATGATCTTCCACCCGTTTCTTCTTGTCCTGCCCTCTGGTGCTTTGGAGAACATCTCTTGTTTGGGACAGCCTCTCAAGTTCTGGAAGACAATTATCAGGTTCCCTCAATCCTATTTTTCAATACGCTAGACCAGGAGTGAAATGCTCCCGGTTCGGACCGGATCGCCCGATCTGGTAGCAATGGAGGCGGGTAGTTCGGAGAACCGGTAGCAAAAATCCCTGCCCTCCCCCACCATTGCCCAGCTGAGCCGCGCAATCATCAGAGTTTTTTTTTTTTATTTTTAAAAGCATTTTTTCCACAACCTCTTTGGCCGAAAAAATGCTTTTAAAAGTAAAAAAAAAAAAAAGCCTCTGATGATCGCGCGGCTCAGCTGGGATCGCCAGAGGCTTTTAAAAGCATTTTTTCTACAATCTCTTCGGCTGAAGAGGTTATAGAAAAAATGTTTTTAAAAGAAAAAAAAGCTTCTGCCGATCAGGCAAGTCAGCTGGGATCATCAGAGGCTTTTAAAAGCATTTTTTCTACAACCTCTTCAGCCAAAGAGGTTGTAGAAAAAATGGCTTTAAAAGTTAAAAAAAAAAAGTTGGCAACGCCCACTCAGTCATATTACCCACCACCACCAAGCCATGCCCACAAAACCGATAGTAACAAATTTTACATTTCACCACTGGGCTAGATCAAGTTTGGCGAACCTTTTTGACACCGAGTGCCGAAACGGGAGCACGTGCCGGAAATTGGAAGAGCAGCCACCTGGTGCACCTGCGCGTACCGGGAAGATGATCTTCTGGTTTCCGGTGCGTGCCTGCACGCCAGCCACATGGGCTTCTGGATTCTGGCATGCATGCGCGTGTGAAGACCAGCTGGCCAGTGCGCACGCGCACGCTGGAAACAGGAAGAGCAGCCGCCCGGTGCGCATGCACATGCTGGGAAGATGATCTTCCGGTTTTCAGCCAGCTGGTCTTTGCATGCGCATGTGTGCCAGAAACTGGAAGACCAGGTAGCTGGTGCGCAGACACGCACTGGAAACTGGAAGATCATCTTCCCAGCGCGTGCATGCATCCTGAGTGACTGCTCTTCCGGTTTTCGTTGCTTCCGCACATGTGAAGACCAGCTGGCCAGCACACCGGACCCCGAAAGAACAATGGGCGATGGCTCGCGTGCCTGGAGAAATGGCTCTGCATGCCACTTGCAGCATCCGTGCCATAGGTTCACCATCACCGATCTAGACAGACCTTTGTGTCTATGTACATGTGAAGTCATCACCCAAAATTACCGTATTTTTCGGAGTATAAGACGCACCAGTGTATAAGACCTACCTTAGCTTTTGGGGAGGAAAATAAGAAAAAAGCTGATTGGCAGGTGGATCCGCCTCCCGGAATACCCTCAATCAGCTGTTCCCAGAGGTGAATTTTAACAACAGGTTCCTTGGTTGTGAGCTCTGTGCCTTGCTTTTTTTTTTTGCTTTTTTTTTTTCTGCCTCTGAAACTTTTGAAACTCTGTTTCAGAAAAAACTTTGTTTTCTGCCTCTGAAAGCCTCCAAAACAGCTTCAGAAAAAAAGCCTCTGAAGCTCTGTTTGGGAGCTTCTTTTCTGAAGCTCTGTTTAGGGGCTTCTTTTCTGAAGCTCTGTTTGGGGGGCTCCTTTTCTGAAACTTCGTTTCTGATGCTTTTTTCAGCCTCTGAAACCTCCGTTTGAGAAACTGGGCAGGGCTATATTCGGAGTATAAAACGCATCCAGATTTTCACCCTCTTTTTTGGGGGGGGGGGGGAAAGGTGCGTCTTATACTCCGAAAAATACGGTATTTAATTCAACACAGACATTCAACAACACCAAATCCCAGTAAACAATAGCAGTCGATAAGTAGCCCCCAAGACTTGGAATTTGTGTATAACTTTACAATTTCTTCTTTGAGATTGTGCCCTTCATGTTAGCCAAGAAAATGTCTGACAGTGGGCATAGCCAAAGCATAATAGAACAATATGGTATTTGTGCTGGACTTCCCAAAAAGTGTTGAATTAAAGAGATGTTGAATTAGCAGTGTGATTTGGCCTACCAGAGGTGTTCCTTCGAAATTGTTCTTTTATGATAGTGAGGAGAATACCTGACTGGGGTGGTTGACATGTATCATTGTAGATTTCAAATGTATCAGAAGAACCGTCTGGCTTGTTGAAGAATGAAATTCCTTTCAAAACATGGTTTGACAACTATCTTGTCCACACCCACAAATGCAAGAGAAAGGCGTTTAAAAAAAAAAAAAAAAGCTTGATGGAGCAAGAGAGAAGAGATGAGGATAAACTGGCCAGGGTGACAAACTCAAGAGATTAATTCTTCAAAGTTACTGTCTAAGCTCGCCATCTGTGGATTGTGATCTACAATTCAGCCGTGCCAAAAGCTGGAACAAATAGTTTCTCTTTCAACAAGCAGAGAGATAAATTAATTAAAAAAATTAAAAAAGGGGAGAAGAAAGAAAGAGGATGGATTTATCAAATGCATAGAATTCCAACCGTTTCAAATTGATAGTTTATTCAATTGCAGCTCTCAGGAATTCAAGTCTTGAAGAAAGTGGATTGTCAAAGATCTCACCTATTATCCCACATGAGATAAATATAGGGATAAAAGGTAAAGGTAAAGGTTCCCCTCGCACATATGTGCTAGTCGTTCCTGATTTTAGGGGGCGGTGCTCATCTCCATTTCATAGCCGGAGAGCCAGCGCTGTCTGAAGACGTCTCCGTGGTCATGTGGCCGGCATGACTAAACGCCAAAGGCTTACGGAATGCAGTTAGCTTCCCACCAAAGATGGTCCCTATTTTTCTACTTGCATTTTTTAACGTGCTTTCGAACTGCTAGGTTGGCAGAAGCTGGGACAAGTAACGGGAGCTCACCCTTTTACGCAGCACTAGGGATTCGAACTGCTGAACTGCCGACCTGTTGACTGACAAGCTGAACGTCTTAACCACCGAGCCACCGCGTCCCTCTAATTTATCTATTCAGTAAATCATGGTTATACAGGCCATAGCTTAGCACGATAACTGGCATAAGGGAACTTAGTACGTGCTTAATAGCACTTAGCACTAGCACTTAGATTTATATACCGCTTTACAATGCTTTTACAGCTTTCTCTAAGCGGTTTACGGAGTCAGCATATTGCCCCCAACAATCTGGGTCCTTAAGCTAAAAAGCTGTAATAGCATCACAGCTGAGGAACCAGAGACTAGCTTCACACCCCATATTATTAACCCTCATCGTTTAATGCCCCAGACTTGACAAGGGATCCCAAGCATTAATTCTAGAATTTGCATACCCCACAATTTTTAGGCAGCTACCTTATGTTCTTCTCGGCAAGAGATCAAGAGCTGCAGGACTCCTGAAGAAATAATTGTATAATTGGGAGTCAAACTGGTTCCACAGAAAATCCACCCACCCGGTGATCAAAGAAAACTATGCACCCTCATCGTAGAGAGAATATTTAGACAGGCCTACACCTATTGTATAAAGAACACGGGTTGATTTCGACCTCGTAAAATAAATTGCCTTAAATCCCCAGATGATAGGGTGTTTAGGCAGCAATGAGAAGCAAAGCTAATTTACTCTGCTGCCATCATAATGGGTAGTCATCGTCTTGACAAGGCTACTGCTACCGCTTCTACACCATGAGATGCCCATCAAAAGCAATTTCATCACCTCCTCCAGGAAGTTTTTCAAAGGATGGGCTGGTTTTTGTTGGTTTTGCACAGGTGCCTCTACCTGTTTGCTAGGCAGAGAGAGGTGTGTGCAATTTGGGGAGAGGAAGCGGTGTGCTCCCCAGGCCCAGAGGCCAAGCAGCTACTGGTGGGAGTGGGAGGACTGGAAAAGCATAGGACCTGTATTCATAAATCACAGCTGACAACTATAGTTGGTCTGGGTTGGGCTCAGCGCCACATGCGGTTTAGGGCTTATCGTGGTGTGTGAACCAGGCTGTCACGTCTTTCAAAACTAGCACTCGGTGTGATGCGTTAACCAAAAGGTAATGTTAAAGAGGAAGAACGTGTTTATTCCGTATTGTAAGTCTTGGTGTTGGAGAAGACTCTTGAGAATGGCATGGACAACCAAGAAAACAAACCAATGGACTTGTTGAATTTGTTGTTGTTAGTTGCAAAGTTATGTTCAACCCATCGCAACCCTATGGACAGCGTTCCTCCAGGCTTTCCTGTCCTCTACCATCTTCTGGAGTCCATTTAAGCTCATGTCTACTGCTTCAGTGGCTCCATCCAGCCACCTCATTCTCTGTCGTCCCCTTCTTCTTTTGCCCTCAATTGTTCCCAGCATTAGGCTCTACTCCAGGGAGTCCATCCTCATTAAGTGGCCAAAGTCTTTGAGTTTCATCTTCAGGATCTGGCCTTCTGAAGAGCAGTCAAGGTTGACTCTAGGACTGACTGGTTTGATCGCCTTGCAGTCCAAGGGACTCGCAGGAGTCTTCTCCAGCACCGTAGTTCAAAGGCCTCAATTCTTTGGCGCTCAGCCTTTCTTATGGCCCAACTTTCACAGCCATACATTGCAAACCTGTTGAATAAGTCAACTGAAAGTCTTCACTCAAGGCACACATGACCAGATTCATGTTATCCTCCTTCAGATACATTATGCAAAGACCTAGTTAAAGCTAAGTGGATAAGTGGAAAGAAATAGTAGAAGAGGACAACCAGCATCAGGGTGTCTGAACTCAATTACTGTTAGCAAGGAGTGCACTGTGGGAAGATCTAAAGAACCTCGTTGGGGCATGTCATTCTGGAGCAGATCTACCTGCAGTTGCTAAGAGTCAACACACCATAGCATATAATCAGTCAACCAGTCAGTCAATCAAACTTTCAAGTACAGGTAGACCTCTTACAAATATTCATTTAGTGACAGTTCAAAGTTACAGCGGCACTGAAAAAAGTGACGTATGATCATTTTTCACACTCATGACCATTTGCACACTTACGACCATGGTCATGTGATCAAAATTCAGACACTTGGCAACTGACTCGTATTTATGACGGTTGCAGTGTCCCCGGGGTCATGTGAAGGTCCGCTTTTGCGACCTTCTGACAAGCAAAGTCAGTGGACGTAAATCAGGTTCACTTAACAACTATGTTACTAACTTAACAACTACAGTGATTCACTTAACAACGGTGGCATGAAAGGTCGTAAAATGGGGCAAAACTCACCTAACAAATGTCTCACTTACCCAACATACTGTAAATGCTGGGCTCAATTGTGATGGTAACTTGAGGATTACCTGTAGTAGCACACTTGTCTCCTGTACTTCTCTTTCATGACAACGAGGTCTTCGCAAATAACTCAAAAATAATGTGTAAGATTTGCAATCACAGAGTTATGTGATTCTGTTTATTTTATTAGCATATTTTTTTTAAAGTATAAAATGTTGCCAAGCTCAACATCTTTTTTGTGCACAAATTACAAATTGCATTTCACAAATCGTCTTCTGGGGACTTGGTTCTCTCAGTGAGATCAATTTTTGGTTACGATCCCTCTGCATCATCTTGTCTTAGTGTTGAAAAGACAACGTTTGAGACAATAGTAATTATATTATTGCTGTGCAAATTATATTATCCTCCTCTTAAAACAAAGCTAGCATTTCAAGCACGAGCATAGTTATTGCTGCCTTCTCTTTTAGTTTGCACTGTAGTAATTGAATTTTAAAAATTACATGATGTTGAGAAAGTAAACGAACCAAAAATAATAACCATTTGATATAAAAGCAACATAGCAGAAAATGTGCAAAAAAAGGAGGTGGGGGCGAAATGACCACTTACTGCAAATAAAATATGGCGCAGGATAATATAATTGGGAAACTTCAATTTAATTTTGCACTTGAAATCTTTTAGCGCCAAATTAAATGGCTTTTCCCTGCCTCTGATTTTCAGCAAAAATAAAAAGGTATAGATTAGCGCTTGGTTAATGGCGGCCTCGAAAAAGACACTCGGAATGCCACGATGTGTCCACCTTTGCAAAAAATCAGACTCATACAATCACAGAGATTTCCCCTGTGAACCTCTATGGAAGCAAAGATCAGATTGGAATAATGTGCAAATCCAGAAAATTGGTTTGAAATAATCACAGAGAATGGACTTTGAAGAAGCAGGATAGAAAGAGTATTGCAACTCTTGAAGTTGGATTTTGGAGAAAATTTATTTTATTTTATTTTATTTTATTTTATTTTATTTTATTTTATTTTATTATTTTATTTTATTTTATTTTATTTTATTTTATTTATTTGTCAAGCATGTATAAGATAACAGACATAAGTATAAACATGATTATGAATGCAGGAAATGGATACGAATAAATGGGGACTGTGGGACAGGGATGGTAGGCATGTTGATGCGCTTATGCACGCCTCTTACAGACCTCTTAGGAATGGGGTGAGGTCTAAGGTTAAAGTTGTGGGGGTTTGGGAAAGGAACCACAGAGTCAGGTAGTGCATTCCAGGCATTGACAAGTTTGGAGTGGTTTACCTTGAGTTTGTATCTATTGTGGGCTCGTGTATTATTGCGGTTGAAGCTGAAATATTCATTGACAGGTAGGATGTTGTAGCAGATAATTTTGTGTACTACACTTAGGTCTGCCCGAAGGATTTTACGAATAAAATCCAGATATCAGAAAGATAAAGAACAATGTGGCTTAGAACTAGGATATAATGGGCTGGATAAAGTCCTGATGGGAACAGGTAAAAAGATTCTGGCTAAATTATACAACTTTCTATTAGATGAAGACAGAGCTGAGGATATAACAAAGAACCAAATGAGTGCTTGGGAGAAAAATATAGGACATGACATAAATTTTAATGAATGGGAGGAGGCATGGAATAAGAACTTTAAAGTGACCAGAGCTGCGACATATAAGGAAAACCATTACAAAATGCTCCACAGGTGGTATTTAGCCCCGGCTAGGTTATCAAAGATGTATCCTAATATACACCCAAACTGCTGGAAATGTGGCTATGGTCAAGGCACCTTCTTTCACATGTGGTGGACATGCCCTGAAGCGAAAGGATATTGGAGTAAGATCAGGGGATGGCTACAAGAAATAATTGAGGAAGACATTGAATTGACACCGGAAATATTTTTCCTGGGAATAGTAAAGAAGCCATATGGAAAGGAAAAGAATCATTTAATAATACTTATAATTACAGCTGCTAGATTGGCCTACGCACAATATTGGAAAGAGAAAACCCAGCCACCACACGAGCTTATAATTAGGAAAATACTGGAGTGCGCAGAGATGACCAAACTAACCCATGAAATAAACGATGATGAGAATTCAGAATACTATACCGTGTGGGGAAGGTGGTATGAATGGATGAATGATAAAGTGAAAGGAAGAGAAAAAGGTGTGTTAAATAAAAACAAAAAGTAGCCTAACTGACACCAGGTATATACTTTGTACATATGTATAAACACTGCACATCCGATATTAATGGAAATGTTAATCTATGTATGTTTATAAACTTAATAAAATTTCTTTAAAAATTTTTTTTCTGTGTGTGTGTACTACACTTAGGTCTGCCCGAAGGCAGCGTAATTCTAAGTTGTCTAAGCCCAAAATTCCTAAGAATACTATAGAGCAGGTGTCTCCAACCTTGGCAGCTTGAAGACATGTGGACTTCAACTCCCAGAATTTCTCAGCCAGCCATTTTTAAGACATGTGGGAGTTGAAGAATACAAGACTTCAAGTTGCCAAGATTGGAGGCCCCTACTATAAGAGAACAAAGAAAACAAATAAAAAAAGCCAATGCAATCCTAAAATGCATTAACAAAGGGATACAATCAAGATCACGTGAGGTACTAATACCACTCTATAAAGCCTTAGTAAGACCACACCTAGAATCCTGCATCCAGTTTTGGTCACCACACTATAAAAAAGATGTTGAGACTCTAGAAAGAGTGCAGAGAACAGCAACCAAGAGGATTAGGGGACTGGAGGCTAAAACATACGATGAACGGTTGCAGGAACTGGGCATGGCTAGTCTAGTGAAGAGAAGGATCAGGGGAGACATGATAGCAGTGTGTTCCAATATTTGAGGGGCTGCCATGGAGAGGAAGGGGTCAAGCTATTTTCCAAAGCACCTAAAGGCCAGACATGGAATAATGGATGGAATCTGATCAAGGAGATTCAACCTAGAAATGAGGAGAAATTTTCTGACAGTGAGAGCAACCAACCAATGGAATAGAAGTTGCCTTCAGATGTTGTGGGAGCTTCATCACTGGAAGCTTTCATGAAGAGATTGGACTGCCATCTGTCAGAAATGGTGCAGGGTCTCATGCTTGGGTGGTGGGTGATTGGACTAGATGACCTACAAGGTCCCTTCCAACTCTGGTAATCTGTAACCTAAAACAACCAAAGGGATCACTGACCTTCTGAGATCTCACTTGAGGCACACATGACCCAGTTCAGATTAATAGAACTTTGGACACCTGACATGAAGACTCCGCTTCTTTGAGAAATCCATTATGCTGAGAAAAATGGAAGGGAAGAGGACGATAAGCAACAAAGTTGTTGGATTGGATTACAGCAGGGACAGGTACAAAATTGGAAGATCTCAAGGACAAGGTTGAGGATAGATCATCCTAAATATCTTTGCTGTTGTTGTTCTTTTCATGTTTTATTTGTTTTATTTTATGTAACATTTAATTTCCATCAAACTGTGTGTCATCTGGGTACAGTTAGTTTTAAACAATCATAATCCACATATTTGTTGTATTATTCATCACAATAATATTAATAATATAGTAATATAATATAATAATAATAATAATAATAATAATAATAATTAACATCATCTTCTTTAATGACTCTCCACATTAACATTTCCTCTTTTTATAGCTCCTCCTTTCTAACTTCTGTTTCTCTTGTCTAAAGGTAAATGTTCCCCTCACACATATGTGCTAGTCGTTCCTGACTCTAGGGGGTGGTGCTCATCTCCGTTTCAAAGCTGAAGAGCCAGCGCTGTCCGAAGACGTCTCCTGGGTCATGTGGCCGGCATGACTAAACGCCAAAGGTGCACGGAACACTGTTACTTTCCCACCAAAGGTGGTCCCTATTTTTCTACTTGCATTTTTTACGTGCTTTCAAACTGCTAGGTTGGCAGAAGCTGGGACAAGTAACGGGAGCTCACCCCGTTCCGCGGCAGTAGGGATTCGAAATACCAACCTTTCGATCGACAAGCTCAGCATCTTAGCTACTGAGCCACCATGTCCCTTCCTGTTGTCTAGCCATTGATAAAATACATCCCATATCAAAAAATATTCAGTTTCTTCTTTATCTTTAATAGTAAGCATTAATCTATCCATTTCTCTAAATATCTTTGTTGTTGATCATCATAGATATCCCATCTATGGAGTCGCTAAAAGTTGACACAACCTTGATGGCACCTTAACAGACAACCAATCAATAATATTTTTTTTTAAAAAAAAATCTTTGGTAATGCAATATTGGTAATGCAACATTCCTGTCTGATGAAACCAAGTTTAAGGCAGACCTGAACTTTACATGCAAAGCAAATTACCTGCTTCTCTCTTGAATCACTCCTTGATTTATCCATCACCTTTTTCACTTCCTGCTCCTTCCTGTTGATCAGGAATGGAGAAAATATCCAATTACTTCATCATCCAATACAATTCACCCTGTTGCCACAACGAGAGGAGAACTTGATACTGTTTGGGACCATCGCCCTAAGTTCAAGGACAAAGGGGCTACCTTGTTCATTGATTAAAATCCTACTTAACAAAATTCTTCTAGCTCATATTCTAAGAATGTCTGTTAACTTCTCATACTCTTTTAGCTTCAAGTGACCAGTATTATTATTATTATTATTATTAGCATACGGCATTGTTACATTAGTTACATTACAATGCAATTACATAGTAGTAGTTTGGCTACCTGTTTACAAGCAAGGTACAACCTTGCACGCTTCCCAAGGTGCACCACATGAGGGTAGTTGGCTTTGCACCAGCAAGGAAGACAAGTGGCTCTTCCAGCAGCAGCACCCACAGCCCCCTCCCTTCCTGTAGCTGCCTCACAAGCAGGTACCACAACCAGAAAGGTTCAGAGCCATCCGGAATCTGACTGCCTGCACAGAGCACCAGCTCGTCTCCTCACCACTGAAGTGGTACCTATTTATCTACTCGCATAAACAATGCTTTCAAACTTTTAGGTGAACAGAAGCTGACGGGAGCTCACCCCGACACGCAGTGCTAGGACTCGAACCGCTGGAGCAGAGACCATCTCCAATGTCATTAAGCCACTAAGCCACCGTGCCTCTCTATGTGGCCAGTTAGGCATTGTGAAGGAACTGGAAATTGCACTGCCGTAAAAAAGAGGCAAAGTATGATACCAATTAATTCATTTATTTATATGTATGGGTGTTAATTTAGAAAAACAATACTTCAAACCATAACATAATACATGACCTTGAGTCAGGCTGTTCACAGTTCTTCCTACTTCCTACATTTTTCCTTCCATTGTTTGCTCATCCGTGGGGCAATTTTTCCATGTCTTGCAAAAAGTTCACATCAGCAACCAATTTGACTTTCTTTGCGATAAGGACCATCTTACGAAACAAATTGCCACCAGTGTTTGAAGCAACCCACCTCCGTATGAGAATATGCAAAACAAATTTGCTTTCCTGGGGTTGTTTGATGCTGGTGATTTTGGCGATTTTATTTGTTTTTTTAAAATAGATGTTCATCTTCTTATTGCACCTATTTTACTCGGCAGAACGTGAGTAAATATATGAATGTACACATCCAGACAACTTACGATGTATGTGCTAACTTGAATTAAATCTTATTCTGTTTGATGGAACATGCTCACTTGTAAATATGAACAGAATTCCTGGCTGCTTTTTAATTTTAAAAACAAGAAAAAAAAAACTGAAAAAAAAATCCTTGAGTTATAAAGAAAAAAATCTTTAAAAACAGGCACAAAACATACAGAGTACATATTCCTGGATATACACACACACACACACACACACACACATACAAATTATATTTCGCTGATAAAGAAATATTTCTTTATCAGTGAAATATAAATTTGGTATAAAATGGTTTCTCATGAATGCGACTGCTTGAGGGCTCCTGGATTGGGGCTGAAAGGCGAAAAGATATAGATAGATAGATAGATAGATAGATAGATAGATAGATAGATAGATATTGCATATACTGGTATCACTAATAACATCAATTCTGTAGACCACTGACTGAGGATGTCATTCTTCCAATGCTCAAAAATAAGTCTTTTAGTTCCAAAATTAAGCACAGAGAATCCATTTTCTTTGTCCAGATGTTAATTTCCATGTGATAGGAATACAGCTCAAAGAAGAATGTGAAAATGTAAGAATATTAAATCTTAGTGGAGTAATTACATGTGATCATTTCACCTGTTATGGTTCTGTCAAAGTTAGTATCTTCATACACTCTACTACAAATACGTTGTTGACACAGTTATATTGTGTGAATGCTGTAATTATTTAGATCAGGGGTGTCAAACTCAAGGCCCTGGCGGCCGGATTCAGTCTACGGGGTGCTTAGATCTGGCCCACGGGGTTGCCCTGGAAGCAGCAAAGGACCGGCCCATGGTGCCTCTGCCAGAGAAAACGGACCTCGGGAGAGCTGCACATGGCCCCCGCGAGCTCCGTTTTCACGGGCAGAAGGTTGCAGGAGGCCGTTGCAGCTGAAAACGGAGCTCGGGAAGGCTGCGGGCAGACCTTGCGAGCTCCATTTTGCTGGCAGAGGGTTGCAGGAGGCTGTCGCAGCTGAAAACGGCGCTCGGGAGCCCATTTTCCCTGGCAGAGGATTGGGCCGCCACAGGCACCCCCAACATGAGTGATGTTGAGCTGGCCACACCCACCCCAGCCCCTCCCCCCCGAGGTCAAATACAACCCTGATGTGGAACTCAATGAAATTGAGTTTGACACCCCTGATCTAGATATATACAGAAATGGACACATCGACATCAGTGGTGGGTTTCAAAAATTTTTACTACCTGTGGGTGTGGCTTGGTGGGCGTGGCATTGATTGGTGGGTGTGGCTTGGTGGGCATGGCAGGGGAAGGATACTGTAAAATCTCCATTCCCACCCCACTCCAGGGGAAGGTTACTGCAAAATCCCCATTTCCTCCTGATCAGCTGGGACTTGGGAGGCAGAGAATAGATGGGGGCAGGGCCACTCAGCATTTTTACTACCGGTTCTCCGAACTACTCAAAATTTCCACTACAGTTTCTCAAGAACTGGTCAGAACCTGCTGAAACCCACCTCTGATCGACATGAAGTAGAAAGACCTTCAAATCTCAGGTGGATTGAATATCCCACACGGCTGGGCAACCAATCTTCGGTCCCCCTAATCGATGGATTCAGGCTTTGTTGTTTTCTCCCACGCATAATAAGCAGCACATGATGTGCTCTGAGAAAAGGACCAGAATTATTTCTGCCTGATACTGTTAGTACTGTTTCTCACAGTGTTCGCCAGTGTTCTGCAGTTGACAAATCTGGGTTGTTCTTGGAACGATGCCTATAGAAACTGAAGAGCAATGTGTTTGCAAGATATATATATAATTAGGTGCATGTTGCAACTTGGTCCTTGGCTTCTGAAGAGTATCTTGCCCTATCAAAACTTTATATATTCACAAATTACAGCTGGTCTTAGTCACTTCATCCTAGCTTTACCCCCAAATCTTTGAGAATTATCCTGAAATACAAGATTAGGTGGGGGCGGGGGAGCAGTGGTGGGATTCAGCCAGTTCGCACCACTTCGGGACAACCGGTTGTTAACTTTCTGAGTAGTTTGGCAAACTGGTTGTTGGAAGAAATCATTAGGGCAGAGAACTGGTTGTTAAATTACTTGAATCCCACCACTGGGTGGGGGGAGATAGAATGGATGAAAGAGAAGAGGGAAGTTGCTCATGACATCGCTAAACAATCCTCTTCCCAGCCTTTTCCAGCTTCTTCAGTCCCCAAATCAGGCGTGGCAGGGGAAGGATACTGCAAAATCTCCATTCCCACCCCACTCCAGGGGAAGGATACTGCAAAATTCCCATTCCCTCCTCACTCCTGGGGGAAGGATACTGCAAAATCCCCATTCCCACCCCACTCTGAAGCCAGCCAGAGGTGGTATTTGCCGGTTCTCCAAACTACTCAAAATTTCTGCTACCGGTTCTCCAGAACCTGTCAGAACCTGCTGAATAGCACCCCTGGACTAAACTAAACTAAAAATGAAGAAAACCACATGAAATCTTAGCACAAGAAATTGACCCAGATACTATTATTTTATTTTTTTTACAATGATCTCTTTTCCATTCTCAAGAGAAAGAAAAATCCACCCATACTAGGAATGGTTACAAACAACAATCCTCAAAAGGTTTGTTGACCTCAAACCACCATTCTGTCTTCTAGAAGGTGTGGACCACAGTTCGCATAAATTCCAGCTCCATTACCAATGTTGCCGCCATTTTGAAACTTAAATCAATTCTGAATGGAGAGCCACCTAGGTCCCCAGAGAGATAAATAAAATAAAGATGAATAATTGGACAAGGTTTCAGTGCTTGTGGCTCACCGCTGGCTATTTTATGGCTCATGGCATGCTATAATTCAGAATCCATGTGAACTTCTACAAAATATATTTATGCTGTTTTTTCCGCCCAAATTCTCTGAGATGATGAGCAATTTTTAAATAATTATAATGAAGACTTTTTTAAAAAATTAAAAGGGGAGACAATTCAAAAGCAACTTACGCTGAATTGAAACTAATTTGCAGGTGGTAGATATAAAAAGTGAACTAAATATGGTTTGCAAATCATGCAGACTGTAAATATCCTTTTCAGATCCTTTATACTTTTAAAATATTGAGCGAGAACAAGATAGAATAAGATTAATGTCTCACCGGAAGACACTGTTTGGATTTGAAAGTTTAGCTGGTACTTCGATTGCAAACTGCTGAAATATTTTTTAAGAAAACATGGAAGCAACATGGAAATGTTTTAATTAAAATAAAAATAGGGTGATGAAGATGATGGAGCTTGCTGAGACTGTTAAATTTACTTCTTCGATCAGAGAAAAAAATAAATTTATATTTGGGGTGGGGACGGAAAACCCCTGACAGACTTTTTGCATGAATTGGGGAAAAATACATTTCTAGTCTTGATGATTAGGAGAAGAAAAAAAAAAGAATAATAAAAAGTGAGCTCTTTTTTAGAAATCATATAGCGAGAAATAATCTTGCAAACATACTTATATTTGCTGCAAAATAAATCCAAACCTGTTTCTTTCATTTTTTTTATCCTTTCTCACAGAACTCTTTTTTCTTTTCCTTCTCTCTTTCTTTCTCTGTTCTCTCTATTTCACATTGGTTTGTGTTAGTTTTTATCTCTTTTAGTAACGTTTATTTAAAGGAAACCAGGACGTTACACCAAAAATGACATTCCTGACATCAGTTGTGGAAGCGAAGCAACTCAATCAATCAGAATAGAGCTGGAAAGGACCTTAGAGGTCTTCTAGTCCAACCCCCTGCTCAAGCAGTAGACTCTAGACCGTGTTAGACAAGTGGCTGTCCAGTCTCTTCTTAAAAGCCTCCAATGATGGAGCAACCACAACTTCTGAAGGCAACTTCTGTTCCACTGGTTAATTGTCCTCACTGTTAGGAAGTTTCTCCTTAATTCTAGTTCGCTTCTCTCCTTAATTAGTTCCCATCCATTGTTTCTTGTCTTGCCTTCTGGAACTTTGACCCCCTCTTCTTTGTGGCAGCC